GAAACGTTTCTTATGCGGAAAAAGTCTAGTTCCCGATAACAAGTACACAAAAAGATTCAACTTTTATGAATTAACAATCGAGCTCGTTTTTTCTACCCATTTGCTATCTCGGAAAGCGTAACTAGCCTTATTATAGCCAGCGAAATTGAATCAGAAGCCGCAGAAAATTAATTTACCAAACACTGCATCATTGGCTGAAATCAGGTTCACTTTTCTTTGAAAACAAACCAAAAATTTAATTGTTCATCTAGCATCGAAACAAAACTTAAAAAGCGGTTAAAAAGCCGAAAATACTTGAACAGGCCCACGTTGAGCCAAAGACAGCTGTTTTCATAAGAAAACTTAGAAAAACTAAAAACCTGTTTTGGCTCATCAAACGACTCAAATTGAGGTCACTAAGACAATATAAAACTGAAACCTTGTAAGCTTCATAGGGAGAAAAGTCAAAAAATGATATACTGAAATCGGAATTGGTAACTACCATTAACCAGAATTTGGAATAGAGTGGGCATTTAAAATGCAGACATGCTCAAAATTTGTCTGTTAATAGAAGAAAAAACATATTTGGAGATGACTACAAATTTGAGTCATCCTGTGAACAAATTTATTTAAGAGAAAAACTAGTACCCGGTTGCAACACTCTTGCTTATCGCAAAGTTAATAGTAAATTAAGCAATTGATCATAATACACTTTCAAACTTTCGATAGTTTGAACTACCCTTTCTGAGCGGAAAACTGTCGGGTAAAGTGAGAATAGTGAACTAATTACTATGAATATTATAGATGAAAAAAGGCTTTCCAGAATTGAATACGTTTTGATCGATCAGATAAGAATGATAGACACCAAAGGGCTATCGCAACTGGCTTTACACCACAAACGTCAGACAACGATTCGGACCGAATTGAAGTGTCCTTGAGAAAAGTACTGCACTACTGACTCATAACTATATTTAGATAATTACGTAGCATAGAGTGAGGTACCGAAGGTCGCTTCATGACACTACAAAAATTAAAACGAAAAACAAATTTGGAGCAATTTTCCATCTATTTTCAATCCTTTCGCACTTTTTAATGGGAGAGCGCAACTTGCTTTTTAATTCAGCCATATGAAACAGCAAGAAATCAAAATTAAAACCACGCGATCTTGAGACTGGGCCTTTTCAAGGAAAAATCATGAAGAAAAGATACGAGCTAGCTAAGTGAAGCTTGCTTCGATCACTTACACTGAAAAACATAGCTAAGCGGCAGTTTGAAAAGTGTCAATGAAAGTAAGGAAACAAAATAAACAACTTGTTTTTTGAAAAAGTGTTATCTTGTTTTTTTGAAAAACTGCTCTTAAAAATCTTCGAAACCCAAGAAAAAAAGACCACGTTGTCGATAAAACTTAACCTAAATTGAGAAAATAATAGGTATTTTTTTCCCTCTAAAAAATGAAAATTAAAATACTTTTTAAACCAGAAATCGATCACGTTTTTTGTGCTTATTACACTCGTATTGTTCTATCGTGGAGGTACAAACAGAAATAACTAAATTTAAAAAGAAATCGATAATCAAGCAGAGAAAATGATTGAAAAAAGTCATGGAAAAAACAGGAAAAAAACTATTGATGTGGTTCTACAGACACTTAACATAGCAAATAGACAGTTGGAAAAGACTCAGAGTGAACGCAAACAACTGAAAAAACTGACTTTATGAAAAAATCTCAACTTTCTCAATTCGAAGAAAAAAAATAGATGCCCTTCAAATTCTTTGAATTTCTAGAACAATCTATGATTGGCATTTTTTATCAAATAATAACTCAAATGGAAAAAATTGGATCAATAAGTGTTTTTTTATCGCAGGGATATCTGAAAGATAAAATTCCACTTCTGAAAGATAAAAAGACAAAAAAAGAGAGAGAGAAGCCGCAGCAAAATAATCTACCAAACATTGCATCTTTGTCTTCAATAAGGTTCATTTGCAAACATACCAGAAATTTAATTGTTCCGCGAGCATCGAAACAAAACTCAAAAAGCGGTAAAAAAACGAAAATACCTGACCTGAGCAGACCCACTTTGAGCCGAAGACAGCTGTTTTCATAAAAAATCTTTAAAAAAACTCAAAAAAGACTAAAACCTGTTTTCGCTCATCAAACGACTCAAAATGCACACAATCGCAATTTTTTCTGGTAATTAGTTGGAATGTAAAAATTTTGAGGCAACCACAATAACTTTGCATGTATTACTTTGGAACGTATAAGAACAAATTGTGTATTAATTAATCATTTCAAAAATCCCACAAAATCACATTTATTTAGAAAGTTTCTGAAATGGTAATTATACACAAAGGCGAAGCAGAACTTAGTTTTTGAATAGAAATCTTTCCAAATTTTAAGGAAAAAATTAGATGTCCTTAAAGCTCTTTGATTTTTTGGAACAATTTATATTTTACAATTTTTTGAATAAACTAACCCAATTTCAGAAAACTGGATCAATAAGTGTAATTTTTATTTCGCTGGGAAATCTGAAATAATCAGTTCCAATTTCGAAACTAGTGACCTTTACTTTTTGCTGTTCGATAGCAGTTTACCTTCCTTTTAACAAAGGAAACGATCTGAACTTGAAAATAAATCAGAAGTCGATAAACAAAAAAAATCATGGCGACCTATATACGAGTCTGAACCCTCAGATGACTAAGTCAAAAGTCTACAACCGGTGAGCCTCAGCAATCAGCGGCAAAAAAAATCAAAATACAATGATTAAAACCCTAAATTTAGCAATTAAATTCCTTGCTGTGTTAATAAGGCCAACAACAATGGCCAGACACACGATAGTCCGAATACTCGAAATATTCATGGAAAGGAAAATTTAGAAAAAGCAGTGACGGGCCGGACTCGAAACCCCGGCATAAGAGCTTTACTCAATGTGCACCTACACTACATAAACAATAATTCATAACCAACAACACGCAATTTGTTACAGATGTGGAAGGAAGAACAGTTGTTTGGTCACCAAAGGACGCAATAAGGGGCCAGTACGTCAGATTAAAAAAAGCCGAAACCGATTAAGCCGAAACAAAAAAATACTTGGAAAAAAACGAAACTTTAACAAAATCGAGTAAGTTAAGTAAAAATTTCGATTCGGGCAGATTTTTAAAATGCAAAAACACTGCAAATAACAAGAGCGAAAATGTTTTACAGCAAAAATAAACGATTTTCAGATCCGGCAAAACATAAGCAGATAAATAAAAGGCCGAAATTCTTTGAACCGGAAAGCTTACCGTTTGAAAAAAAAACAAGTAGCCCTGGTTACATTCGAACTGTTGACCTTTGCCGTTCCAGGCGTATTCGTTAACTCCACGCTATGTGTGCAAGTGACAGTAAGAAATTTGAATTCATTATGAGCCAAGATACCACCAGGAGTCAATGAGTACTGTGAAAAAATTTATTTATGGCAAAAAGTCTAGTACCCGATTGCAAAACCCTTGCTTATCGCAAGGGTAATCAAGACATTGAAGAAAAAAAAAACTTCATAAATTCCATAATCGCAAGCGTAATAATTGACGCGAATCATTTTTTAAGAGTAAATACAACCCATTTGCCAAAAATCATTTAATTCAAAAAACTGCTCATCTGACGAAATCAACAACGGGAAGAAGTCGTTCTGGTTCTGTATATGAAACAGAAAAAAAAATAAAAAAAACTAGGTCTACCAAAATTTACGGAACAAAACTTACGAAGCTGAATCAAAGCCGACAATCTTTAAGCAAACATCAGTTAAGCTCAAAAAACAATGATTTTGTGAAAAAAAAAAAGTTTTAAATCCCCCTGAAACAAAATGAACAACACTTGAAGCTATAATGAAAATTGCTTACAGCAAAAGAAAAATCCATGATGTGGCAACTAAACCGACAAAACTTGAGCAGGCAAACAAAAGACCGACAATTAACTTTTTACAAAACAAACTCAATTTCATACATACTGAAAAAACACAAGCTCGAACTCCAAACCTTATGGTACAGAGTCGACCACATTACCTCAAAGCCAGGTATAAGCGAGCCTGAAATTTGTTAAGATTCAATAAGAAAGCAAGTTAGATTTGTACCTAGAATGTTTACAGGAAAAAATATAGTTTCCCATTACTAGCAAGTGTCTTATAATCGGGAATTACACTTTTTCCCGTAAACAGTTTTCTTACCATTACGAGCTCAACCTGTGCACTGGATATGCGCGCAAATTAATGTATGTAGGTCTCTGAAACCCAGGGACACGTCTTTAAACATAATAATTTTATCGGAACGATCAAAGAAAACGAAAGAACAAAAAAAAACAAAGACGTCTTTCCTGCGGAGTCCGCTCAAAATTCATAAAATACATAATTTGGGCTCATAATGGAAAATCTTAATTGCTTTACTTAACTGCTTTGTTACTGACTCTTAACAACTTTCAGGCTCGTCTTCATCTGGTCTAGAGGTGTAAATAAAATTCTGCAAATCTGGTATTTGAATTATCTGCACGATTACGAAATTTAGAAACAATATTTAAATGGTAAAAATTGCCGAATCAATAACATAGCTAACAGTCAGTTATAGCAAGTTATAAAGCAGGTCGCAATTTTAAGAAAAATTTACGGGAAAAAGTCGCAAGTGCAATGGAGTGTACGCAGCCAAAATGCTTCACGAAAATTGATTGATACATTACCTAAAGAAAACACACCTGATAGCTTCTTTATCTTCATTTTGAGTAAAATTACAGAAAAACTTTAAATTAAATACGACAAATTTCAGTAAATATACTTTTGTTAAATAAGATTTTACACTCGTAGGTTCCAAAGTATGTACACTTTTCGACTGGATAGCAGTTTCCAAGCATACCCTAAACTCGCCACTCCCACATATCTTGTTTTTCAGAGTACTTTAATTTGAAACAACTCTGGTTTATAATTGATATTGACAAGCTAGAATAATCTGAATCCCCTTCTGAAAACACAGCTGTAGCATTATCTTTGATGATTTTGACCAACCTGATTTTCCGAGTCATGAGCGGATGTCGCTGGATCCAGGTCGATGTCAATCAGGTCAATCGGAACTGGACTCATTCGATCAGCTCCGTGTTGTTGATTGTCTTCTATACGATTGCCGCTCGAGATCAACATTACATTATTGCGCCCACTTACTCCTTGCACAAAGATTGAATTGCTACGCGACGCCTCAGAACTTTCCCCCAAATGCGGAGGGTTTATTTCATCTCCAAAAAATTCAGACTGCGGAACAAAAATTTCATCGTTTACATGGTCATCTTGCAGCGGTGCTTCGCTGCGCGCGGTATCTTCATCTTCGCTCTCATGGTGATCCTGGCTCTGACTTCCTCTGTCACTTGAACTACCATCCTCTTGATTAGACCTCCGCCTCTCTTGTAGACTGTCTTGTCCGGGAAGCATTCAAATATCTAATAAGCAGTAACTTCTGTCTCATTTAATAATCACCAAAAAAAGTTGACATTCGACCAGAATGACAACAAATGCATAGCAGCAAACGAAGTTTTAGTCGAGCAGTTCGACGAGAAAATCGACGGTTTAGAGAGACTAAGGTTGTTAATCTTCCAATTGGATGAATCCGGCATGATTACTTTGAATTGAACTTATGTTTTCAAAATTTCGATTCGAGCGTGCAAGACACGTGACCATCTGAGTTTTGCAAAAAAAATGAAAGGAGAGCGAAATTCAGAATCGTGATTTTCGCTTGCAGAGATAAGGAACCACGACAAGCAAGATTGAAGCAACGTTAGCACAAACAGTTATTGTGCTGCTAAAATCGTTACCGGAAGAAATGAAGGAATCATGAAGGTTGAAGGTAAAGCAGCAACCCTTCCTGGTCGTGATGCAGGCGTTTCTTCAAGGATATTGAAAATACCGGAAGGGTCTGGAGACGCTCCTGACTGTCATTCTAATAATTTTTAGCTTCCGGAGATGTCCTGAATTGAAACTCTCACATCTATTTTCAGTTTCAGGCTTTGAGATGCTAAGGGCTAAGAGAAGAGTTGATCCATTTCCGATGGATAGGGTTGTAACATTCGCCCAAATATCACACAGCGACGGAGCGTAGAAAAAGTACCTATTAACGACTGGCAGGCGTCAGTTACCTTAATTCTACTCGTTTTTCACCGTCTCGACCTTGCCAGTTGATTTTCTGGTCTGTCTAGGGCAAAGTAAAAAAGTTACCATTTTTAGGCCATCAGTCAAACGACTTTTGATCAGCTTTCGTTTACATGCGAACACAACCACATAGCTGAGTCTCGGATCCTCAGACTACGTGATTGTCATTAAAAACAAGGCTCGAACAACCCATTTTTATATGTTTTTGTGTGACAGTTCTATATTAAATCCATTGGAGATGGATTGACCCTTTCCCTTTTTCTATCTACTCATGCTCTGAATTATTAAATAATGACGGTGTTAATTAAGATCTAGGACATTACAGCAACTGTTGAAGTTAGTTTACCCAGTCCCTTCACATATAACAGTCTCTGGGGGACCAAGCCTCCGCTCCCGTGATTTTCTTGAGATAACACTCTTATCTCTTATATTTCGTGTCCCGGGAGAGTTCCGTGGTATTTCTCTTCCCCCCACTGAAGCCTCCGTCTCCACAAATATCCGTCGCTAAGGTTCTTATCGTGTGTTATTGCCACGATAAGAGGCTTCGTAATTTTCTTGCACGACTGTTCTTCACAATCTCTATCGTGGTTCTGATTTTCGTCTTTTCATTCAAAATGGCCGTCTTTTTTCTATTTCTCAGAAATGTTCTTCTTCCGATCGAAATTTTAAAAATAAAAATTCTAGAACATTCTGACCCTCCGTCGCAACACTTGTTTGTTCATAAGGCCTTTAGTCACTTTTTTTTCTGTCGCGGGAAGGTTGTGCTGTGTCATCTGGCAGAATGGCACATACTCCCCGGACAAGTCTCCATCAATGTCCCTATTGATCGCATAACACCGGGTTATCGTCAAGTAGTTATCCAGTTTTCTGTAACCAATCTTACAAATTGCATAAGAAATTGAAATTTATCTACTCCACCTCAACTCACTACGTGTTCACAAATGGCATCGTACTACATCTCTCTGCCTTTCAACATTTTCACAAAATTTGCACCATGAGGAGTGTCCTAGATAAAATTTCTTTTCTGACTACTTACGTCAACTCGCCATAAAACTTCTTTTCGCCTCTGATTAAAAAGTGGGACGTGGCACGGCCACGCACCCGTTAAAATTAACTTAACTTCACTCACCAATTATAATCAGTCATTTATGCGGTCCTTTCAATATTAAAACTAAGAAACTCTGTGGCTAGGAAAGTTCTTGAGTTACCCACCCTTCCCGAGCGAGTTTACTCAAACTTACCATGTCGCCACACAGTGAATTTGTGTCTTACACAGGTTAAAAACTTCATTCGTGAATAAATAGGTAAATATACTCACCTATGTTCCTTATATACATACATAGATAGTAGTAACTAAAATCAACAATTTCAACAATTTTAACAACTGCAACATTTTCAAAGTTTGGTCTGACCAAACTAGATCAAAACAAAAAGTTTAACAAGTTCAATAATCAAAACTTGGTTGATTGGTTTAAGTTTTAGCACACAAATACAATCAAGTTTTTCTCTCCTTCTCTTCTCTTCTTTGGTCATCTTCACTCCATCATTTCTCCATCCTGATGTTCAGCGTCACTGTCTTCCAGGACTTTCTCTAACATGTCCAGAGAGTTGCGGGCCGTGCCCCAACTCTCCTGTTCCAACAGCCTCGGTTTGCAACAAGGTAGCAAGTCCACATTCACCTTCTGCTCCCGGTTCCTGCAAAAGCTGTTGTGAAGACACAGGCTCACGTTTCGTTCTAGGTCAGCTCTCAAGACCTCTTTCTTCTCATCTTCAGTAACACAAGGCGCTCCAGCTACCCGCTTCACCGCTGTGGTGACCGCGTTTCTGTGCGTCAAGAAAGCTCTCTTATAGGCTCCCGGTCCTATATCTAGCTGGAAAGATTGATAGGCTTCCGTGTTCCTTGACATGTGACGCTTCGCGCGTTCATACATCCAAGATGTCATCACTGCACGGAACCAAGGCATCAATCTCTGCCTTGACCATATCCTTTCAATGGCTTTAGGTATTCTCAGAACCTTGCAGGTGGTTCTGAAAAGATCCAATTCACGACTCATTTTTACGTTGCTCAACTGTTCAGGAGTCGGCACGGCCGTCTCCTGCTCACTTGTGTCCGCGTTAGCCTCCAACCATCTCACTGCTAGCATGGCGCTAACCACCACGATTGCCACTTGATGATTCTGATCGGGCAACCCCGTGGAGTACAACTCCTCCACGTCTCATACTAGGATCAGATTTCCGCGTTTGGGGTACCACAACGTCTGCGCCAAGCAGTGGCAAGGATACTCCCCATGGGTTCTCACTATGTTCCTTCGGGTCCGATACCCTGAGGCTCCCAGCAACGGTTCCACTTCCATCAGGATTCTATGTAAATCGTCTTTCTCTTCTATGGTGGGGAATTCAGTAGGTAACGCTCCACTCGCTTTCTGCTTCTGGAACTCACTCACGTTGCCTTCATTCAGTCTCATGAACTCTTCACCCACAACGTCTTGCAACTCGCCTTCGGATCTCTTCGGGACTGCCCGAAAGATCTTTGCCAACAAGTCATATGACCTCTCTGACATTCTGGCCAACCTCACGCACTTTGGCACAGAGAAAAGTTGGTCAACCAACACTTGTTGCGTCCTCGCATCCATCACCACCATGTGCGTAGGATACTTGCTATTACAATACGGCGCTGAGCTTGAACCCACCATATATTTTGAACCAGTAGGTCTGTGATAGGCTTCACTGTCCTTCAGATTCATTTCATTTTCTAGAGCTTCTCGCCAGCCTTTAATCTTCTGCTCTGTCTGTAAGGCTCCAGGGAATATTTCCACGCTGAGGGACGTCACTAGCTCATGGGCACGCTCCAAGCGCTCGAGCGATTCTATCGAACTCGTCATGCTATAAAATCCCAAGGCTGTGATCAGGTTTACGTCTGTCACCCCATGGCAGTCCGCGACCAACTCCATGGCACTCTTATCTGACATGCTCAATCTTCCATACAATCGTGCCAGTTGTCGATGCTGCTCGCTCAGCGTAATCAGGCAGTGTCCCAGTTTACAAACATGTCCTTCCATCCCGCTGTGTTGAGCCAAGCATGTGCCTTGCTTCAACCAATTACTCGGTGTACCTTCCTCGGACAGCTCCGTGGACGGGTTGCTCTTCCTCTTCGTCAATCTCATGGCCAGCAGGTGATGTATCATGGCCAGATCATGTAAACTCGCATCATCATCCCGTTCTAACATGACATCCGCGGTCATGTCCCAGATTAAGCCTGCGTTAGGATGGGGACACCAGGAAGGTTTCATGAGTTCCCACATCAATACTAGACTGGTTTTCAAGGGACCGTCGGAGGGTTCGACCACTCGTTCTTCCAAAATAATTCCCAGCTTGGGTTGTTCCACCATCAGCATTCCGATTTCCTTAATTCGTTCAACCCAGAAGATGAGCACTGTGACTTGCTCATAGTCGAAAATGCTTCCCTGGCTTCTTCGTTCACGAAGGGATTATACGCCATCCCCGGTATGCCAGACACATATTGGAACGACTTCAGTTTCCCTAGTGTTGCAAACTCCTTTTGTCCTCTGGCCGCTTCAATCAAGTCTCTGCTCACTCTCAATTCTTTGTTGGAGTATCTTCTCACCTCTTCCAACTTGCGATAGCTTTCCATATCATTCGACTCCTTGCTTGGCACGGTCAATGGCATGTCCTGATATAGCTCTAGGAGTGCCCTAAGGAAGTTCCTTTCGCAATCAACTCCCTTTTTCCGAATGATCTTTATACATTCTCCCAACACAGGAGTAGGGATGCGATCCACCACGAACCTGACAAAGCAAAGGGCATCCTTACGCTTAGCCCATGCTATCGCTGAATCGTCTTTCGAAATCAATGCTCGTAGAGCTTCCATTAACTCTAGCTCCTGTTCTCGTGATTTCGAGTCATTACTGGCTTCATACTCCGCCTTTTTGATGCCCATCAAGCACCAAGCCAGTCGTACTTGCAGATCAGTTCTCACGCAAGGATGAGCCAGGTATGCTGCCACAGTAGCAGGTGCATTCATAGTCTCATCGAAGTATTTCTGGAGGGCCGCCCTCCAAGAAATTTCTAGCAGTTTTTCCAATCCAATTTCGTTCGCTTCTGATGACATTACTGTGCCATACTCTCTTCGATTGAAGTTAGAGTTCTCCGTAAGCCCCTTCAAGTATTCTTGCATGGCTCTCTTCTCGCTCCAAGCCATCAGGTGCCCTCTCGCGGAGTTCCTCGCTTTCAACATCTCCACATAACCCCCTACCGGATCTCCCATGAGGAC